ACTGTAGGCGAAATATTGCCTACCTATCAGGCAATATGAGAGCTTGCAGAGGCGAAACTTGGCCGGTTTGTAAAGGTGAATAACGGACGTACTTTCTGGATGATCTCTTGGTAGTGTCGGCCTATTCTCCTCCAAGCTCCGTCCTCAGAATGGATGTGGCCCACAATCATTCACCGCCATTGCCCAATATGTACAGACTCTAAAAGATATTGCCACTCTAAAGTCACATGAAAGGAGAGCATTCACTGACCATGTCAGTCCCTTTCTGAGAGCTAATTAACAATCTAGTATAAATTAAAATAAAGTTATTTTCAACAAAATTCCAGTTTTATTCCATCAAAAAAGTACAACTTTTTTAGAACTGACATAAAAAGTGCAGAAAGCACATATTCAACAGATGCAACTGACGTTCCATTTGGAGTTGACATTATTCAGAGTTCAGAATTTAGAGGGACAGCCATATCAATTAAAATATACAATATACACAACGTACTTTGATCAACTACAAATTGAGAACCCAAAATGTCATTGATTAGCTTTCAACAGCTGATACCTTGTATCCAGCCCTTTCAGGACCCACACGTGCAGCACGCGCCATTAATCTTCTCTCACGCTCATATTCCTTCATCCTTACTACGTAACTGTGAAAATGAAAGAAAAAGAAATTGTGAAAACTTTTTTTGTGAGAATACCCTCAGAAAGACTTTGAAGTGGGTACTTACTCTTCATACTCGCACCAACCATATGCATGTGTATAATGGGCACATTTGGTGAAGAACGGATAATTTTCATACATGCATTTCTGCCACTCCATGAGTGGTTTAGCACAAAAATCTCGTCGGTCCCCAGGTAGATTGTGGTTATCCATTTGTAATTCTGTCACCTCCATTTCTATAAAAAGAAAAGAAGAAAGCCATGGTAAGAAATCCAAATATATTGTTGAACTGAGGCAAAGATTATAATTTCCATTTAAAATCTGCTTTTAGAACACATGTGTTAGAATTTTTTAGAAGATACGCAAAGACTAAGATTAACTACACTAAAGGGGAATCTGTTGACCAAACTATACGAGTTCAAAACAGGAAAACATTGTTTGTTATTAAATCATACCAAAGCAACATAACCTCTTCACTTTATGTTCGCACTAAATTAACACATACTGTAAGCATGAACCCATCAGACGACAAGAAACAAGAAACATCAAATTCATGAAAGAGCACTAAACAATGAATCGTTACAACTGTTATTACTTACCTCGCGTTTTTCTTCCAGTTGCCTCAAATCCGAACAGTGGGTCGAACTTGGATTCTTGAAAATCACCCATTGGTATGGTACCCGGGTGCATGAAATGAGTATACGCAGTACCCATCCTGGTAACCGGCTATATTTTTTTAGGAAAAATAGAAAAGACGAAAAATGGAGCTACTTAAGTGGTAAAGTGCCTAATTTTGAACGGACTGAACAGCAACCAGCACAGCTGATGTCTGCTGGGCCGAAATGACGACCCCTTCCCCTTCAAATCGGATCTGCCAGAGTACGAATATTTAAATAACTTTAAATCTAACCTAGCTGTTAATAATGTACTCTCTTGAAGTGTTTATAGACCCAATCATAAAAAGTTAAAAAACTAAATGCGACAAGTACATCTTAAAAAGTTGTAAAATCTTCAAGTCAAGTGTTAGTTTATACGACTGTGGTTGGTATGATCGTCTTGTGTATGAGATTCTGCGAATAGCGCAGCAGAAGTAAATGTGATATGTGATGTTTGGGTTGTTGAGGTTCCGGAATATTTTACATTTACAGTCTACGCGCTACACTTAGATAGAAAAGGTAGTATGACATCACAGGAAAAGGATAGGACAAAGGAAAGAAGAGCTCAGACACCTGAAAATTTTCCATGTCATAAGGTGGGTTACAATCATCAAACACTAGTGTGATGTTTTCCGGTTATAATTGACTAGTTTCCCAACAGTGATGACATGTTTTGTTTTAGGAAAGAAATCAGTCTATGATGTGTTTACATGACAATAATTATGATTATTCTAAGTGTCAAATGGCATTCGACAACTTCAAATTTTGCAAACAGTTTTGGGTGTGTAAATTGATTGGTTACTAATTTTCGTCTGTATCTAGCCATCAAATATAGAAACGATTCCTTTTTTTTTGTTTAACAGGAATTGGTTTCAAAGAAGCGGAAAGCAGCAAATATTGTACCAAATCTGCCAGAAGCTGAAGAAAGGGAAATAATTATGGACCATTTCAAGAAAACGGGAACCCTACCGCCACAGTCTTCTTAAAAGTCAGTTCAAAATTATCGATGAATACTCAATGTAAGACTGGTTTTGGGTTTGTTTTTTAATAGAATTGTACACTAAGTATATACTGTTCAGAATCTTTCTCCCTCTTCATCACATAACTCATCAAAACTTATTCTGTGATAAGCATCTTTCATCAGACATGACAAATAATGGAGATCAATAACTTCATTTTCAGTAGTTTATTACATACACTAAACACACATTATACTTTTCATGAACAGCAACATATAACAACTAAGCAAACCTCTCTGGTAAAACTGAACCAAATGTTTGTTCCAGCAATTATTACCACTTGCATTAACAATTGACCGATAACTCAACTAAAATCCCATTCATCAAAAACACATTCTGTGGTTTCTGCATTGTTTGGTATAATTGCACCCATAAGACTTATCTACAAAACATAATCTTCAATTCAGTACAAGAGTTGTTACTCACAAGAGACCATGCATGCATGCTAAAGTACCTAAACAATAACTTTAAGTGGGAAAAGAATTGAATAGTACTACTTTCAGTCACATCTTCACACAAATCACAGATTATTTTTTTCCATTCTTGATGCTTCCTAATGTTCAGTTGCAAAGCCATCTATTTAGAGCCAGGTCGATTCAGAAGTAAATTAAATAATTTTTTATGTTTCAAAGAATATAGAAAAAACTGCAGGTAGGTACAAAATTGTTCATTTTAATATTTACTAGTAATCTCTGTTTAAAATTCTTAAGATTTATCAAGATGAAAATTTATAGATAAAAGTACTTCAGTCTGAATCCTGACTTTAAATAGAATATTTGACAAACATAAACTGTCTCAAACCTGGGGAGACACAAGCAGTTTGAATTGAGCAATTTTGTTTTCCACATTGCAATCTGCATTATTCACTCTCAACACAAATAGCATCAGGAAGAAAACCAGATTTAAAAGAGATGAAATTTAGCAAACTAAATAATTAATCATAAATGAAAGATTCTTGTTACCACAGTAAATGAGGCAGCAAATGTCAAAGCAATTTCATAAGGGATATGAAGCCAAATTTCAAAGTCACACAATCCAACAAAGTCTTTGAGGCTGTTTAGCAATGGAGGAAGTGCAAAATAAAATTTGTTACTACTGATACACTAATGTAAAACTTAATTAACAGTAGCATAATATGGGTATAAATATACACCCATACATCACAGGTTATCACTGTTAAATTTTCCAAGAACACCCAACCTACATGCACCCACTCATGTTGGAACTATTGACACAAAATAAAAGAATCAATGAAATAATACAATTATCAGATATTTCATGTTTCCATCAAAATTATGGGAGCTTAGATCAGAAAGCATTTCTGACTTGATAAGTTCAAGAATCACAAGGAGGTCACTAAAAGTCAAATAATGGGCCATTTACCTTAGGGTCCTTTTAAGATGTAGGGCATTGCAGAGGGTTTGCATAACCATCGCTGTCGCTGCTGTCAGAACTAGATGACCCCGGATTTGAATTACCCTGAACAAAATAGATAAGATTAATGTTGAGATCTAACACAACACACTCTGCAACAATTAAGGTAACAAACTAGCAGAAAAAAATAAAGAAAGCATAACAAACCCTAAACTGAGCACCGAGCCTTACAAGCTGTAAAGCCTGGCTGCCTCCAAGGTGACGAATGTTGACACCAAATTGACGGTCCAGATCCTCCATATGACTTTCAAATACGTCCATGCGGTAAGGTTGGTCAATTACTCTTGCACGCATATTCTTTGAGACCACCTTAATGTATAAAAAAACTGATAAAATAACTTTCATTTTTATAACTTTCATTTATATTACATTAGACAAAATATTTCTTATACCCGTTTAAGATCTTTCATCTCTGGATCCTGTTCACAAGATGGCACCCATATCTTCACATCAGAATCTAATCCACTTGTTGCAAGAATAGGAAACTGTGGGTGTCCAACTAAGGCATTCACCTGCAAGGTAAGCAGAGGTGACAGTCAAGATTGGGAGGCATTGGAGGAACTAAAATCTCTACTGCAATAAAAATGACAGTCTATGAGATCAACAAAGAGTACCTACCACTCCTTTCTCATCGCCACGCATGAATTGCACTATTGCCTCAGTATTCTTGTCCCAGAAATAAATATTTCCACAGTCTGATCCAGACATAATATATTCACTATTAGGCCCAAAAAAGTCACAGCTCTTCACTGAAAAAGGATAAATAACGAATTGGTGGTGGCAGAAAATGTTACAGCAATAATTTGCAGCAAAGAAAAGTTCGAACACAAACCTGTCACACTGTTTCTGTGCCCTTCATATTTATGAACAAAATCTGCACCATCAGAATGCCGAGAGTCAAACAGATACAGACTTTCATCATTGTAGGATCCAATGATCTCTGAGCCATCATGGTTATATAAGGCACAGGTAACAGTTGTATACTTGTTGGTGCCATACTGGATTAAGAGGAAAACAAAATAGACATTAGCCTTCTGTTGAGAAACAAAGAAAGTGTACATTTAACAGGAGAAACAAACTAAAATTGAAAAAATTTACTATATGACTGGGGCAGAATTTTTTCATAGGTGCACCATTAAGATCTATCTTGCGTTTATCATATACGCGGATGAAGTAATCTACTCCACAAACACAGAACTCGTCACTATTCAAGGGATGTGCATCAACAGAATACAACCCTATCTTTCTTCTTGTACCATCTTCTACAGTAACAAGCCTATAAGTTAAAATTGAATTTCTGTGAATGTTCAATCAAACAATGAATTACAGATGAGCCGTGTCTCAAAGGAAATCAGCTTACGTTGTCTGTTTGGTGCCCCGGACATCAATAGCCATAACCCGTCCATCCTCCCCTGCACTTAAAAACACATGAGGTGTTTCTGGGAGGAGAGCAAGTTTGTTGACAGGTTTACGATGATGGGCAAGCCTCCGTGTACTTCGGCATTCCCCAGTTGAAGATAGAACAGCAAGTCTGACTTGACCATCTCGGGCAGAAGACACTATATGGTTATCACCACTCATGGGTAAAAACTTTGCCTGTGTATAAAAAGTTAAGACAAATCAAATTTAAATAGAAGAAAAACATGACAAACAATAAAGGACACACATCCAAATTGAATTTATACCTGAAATACATTGCTGTTGTGTCCACTACTGTACGTAAGAATGCTCTTGCCTATTGCCCAATCCCACACAATAATCTTTTTATCATCTGAGCCAGAAGCAAGACGAGTTCCTGACTGGTTAAAGCTTATAGCATTAACACATCCACGGTGCTCATCCAATTTATACATCAGTTCCAGACGTTTAACACAATGTAAAGAACCATAGCAATGCTGTTGAAAAAGTTGTGGCTCTTGTTGATGAGTACGCATACCAATCTGTCTGCAAATTAGACAAAAGTGTAAGATAAAGAGACATAAAACAATTACAAGTACAAAAGTGCTTGTCAGGTCAAAAACAAAAAGAGGACATTTCTGTTTAAAGCGGTTAAAAGTGAAAGTAAAAAAAAAAATATTAATCAAGCAAAACCTTAATTTTAGTCAACATATAGATAAGGGATTATGAATAATGTAGGTACCTGTTAATTACTGATGTAGTAACATTCCACTTATGTTTTGGGACCTCTTTTGACAAACATTTATTGTATTTTTTCTCTTCCTCATTTTCTTCTTTTCCAGCACCCTCTTCTGCATCACTCTCAGAATCATCAGAATCAAAATGACTCCATGTATCATCACTATCCAAGCCCATGCGCCTAAAATGATAAAGAAAGAAAATGAAATAGAGATACATCATACCTATAAGATCAGAACTTTTTATTTGTGGAGTAATTGGTAAGTACTCTTGGAAACGCTGTGTAGCATGTAAACCTCTGTGCAAAGCAAAAATACTCCTTGTTAGGGAACTGTCACCGGAGCTGTCAGAATCATCTGGGACTGCTGCAGCACTGCTGGTACTTGCAGCATCATGAGGCCTCTCTATGACAACATCAAAGAAACAAGACAATATGGACATCAGAATGGTGAAACAAAGACTTTTTTTTTTAAATTTATAGTTTGTTGAATGTTTTTGGTTGTTTTCTTAATGCCAATTCCTAACTAAACTTACCATCACTTGAAGAGTCAGAGCTGCTCTCAGGACTACTGCTGCTACTACTCCTGTCATTGAGACGACGGCGATATCGCCTATGACGAGTTCTTGTTCGAGTTATGAAAGGACACAGTTCAGGAGTGCTTTCATTCGTCTCCCCTCTACTCTCCTGATCACCTTGCCTTTCTGGATGTGCTCCAGCATCCCCAGATCTTCTACAGTCTTCAGTATCACTACAATCATCATCATCATCGTCACATCTTTCACGTTTACGAGCCCTCTGCGCTTTAAGAGAAAGGGGCAACTTTGTTGCATCGCTGGATGAACCAGGAATAGCTGTATCTTTGCTCTCACACTTCTTCAGATCACTACAAGATGCTGATGTTGATGCCGGGCTCTCGCATAGTAATTCTTTTGAACTCTTATCAGATTCTTGAGAGACTTTCTGATCAGATGGAGAAGCCTCACTTGATGGCTCGTTTTCCTCGCTAGGCTTGTTTTCATGATTAGATTGACTAGACTCCATATTTGTTTCCAATCGTTGTTTGAACTAATGTTTGTCTTGTACTCTACTCAAAGATCACATCTCTTCTCGAATTCTGGAATATAAACCATAGGAACATTAATGGCAAATACCAAGAGGAATTTTTTCAGTTAAGGTTAATCATCTGGTTGGATTTTATACATCATATGCAAACAAAATAAACGAACTCGAAATCAGTGTCACTCCACAAGGTGAATGCTAACGCAATTATTACATGCAAGTATGCTTGAAGTTGAGGATGTCAGTTTCCGAAAATATACGCGTCATTAAACCAGAGCCCCGTTCATGTCACATAACATTTGCTGGCACTGACCTCCTCTCGGATACCCCGTTTAATCGAGCGACAGTTTTGGTTCGGATGGTTGTGATGATTTTAAGGTTGGCTACATCTGGAATGAACCTTAAAATGCCTGCACATGTGCTGGAGTTGCTCACAATCTTTTTGACTGCGGCGTAAATTATTCTGGCATCAGTGCTGTCTTGCAATATCAAAACACTTAACCTCACAAATATATCGAGTGTGACGGATCGAGCATTGTGTTTGAGTGTGCGAGTAGCAACGTCGGCAAATATTGGAATCGTTCAGATCTAACTTTATTTTGCTACGTACCTGCAAGGTAAGTCTCTAAATACCTTCAGTTCTGAATATCTATACAATAACGATTTCTACGCAATGAGTACTTCAGCCTATGTTTTTGTTATTTGCGGCTTTAAAAAGATTGTTTCCATCGTCCCCATGCGATCAGCTGATTGGCCGGTTGTTTTACAAGGGAGTCAAGATCGGAAACTGCTCATGACATTCTTAAGCTTGCTAAACGCAATGCTTATTCAAAGCCCCGTAACTGTCACTCATTCTAGTTAAGTCATAGAAACTGCCGTAGCAGTAATTCGCACGTCAAAGTCGGATTTTCTTTAAACCTTGCGCGATAAACCCATTTAATTTTCATGGTACGTTGGCTAAATGCTTGGGCGGCTCAATTGAATGATTTGAATGCAATATTTGGAGAGTACACATTACTCATTACTAAAGGGAACCGTTGATATTGTTTTTCATTACCATGAAGTCAAGTACTTTGAAGTTCAAATAAGTGTATTTTCAGAGACAGACGTTTTAGAGACAGAATCATGGCAGAACATCTCGGCGACATCGACACTCGATGGGCGGCCTGCATCGCGGACGCCGAGGTCGGCGCCGTCCCTCTGGACGTGCATACCGCGGCCAGTCTCGGGGACGAGGCTGTCGTCCTGGAGGCTTTACGAGCGTGAGTATACCTAACTCCAACTGCCTCCCCTGCGCGCCTGCGGACGGCGGGGTAGGCACGCCCGCGTTGCAGGCGCGCGGGCGGGCTGCCTGTCGACGCCGTCCGCCGTCCCGCGGTGGGCTGACGTGAGCTGTCCTGTTGCAGTGACCCCGAGCACGCCCTGGCCCGCAACGACCTCGGCTGGAGTCCGCTCATGTTCGCGGTGTGGCAGGGCCACGTGCCTCTCGTGGCGGCGCTGCTGGAGGCGGCGCGGCGCTGCGGCCAGGACGCCGCCGACGACCCCGCGGTGGGGCGCCTGCCGCGGTCGGGGCGCACGCTGCTCATGGTGGCGGCCCGCTTCGGCTACGAGCGCATCGCCAGCGCCCTGTGCAAAGTGAGTCCATCGAAAGTCTCTCAGTAGCAGCGAGGAGACGTCTGGCTCACGCTCTACACCTCCTCGGTTGCAGCCCAAGAACCTCGAGACGCGAGACTTCCGCGGACAGACGGCGCTGTTCCACGCCGTTAGAGGAGGGAATCAGGAACTCATCCGGATGTTGGTGTCCCGGGGGGCCAACGTGAACGCCTGGTAAGGGTTTGTCGCTCAGCTGGGGTGGGGGTGATCGGGTGCTGCGTACCTCTTTCTGCCGATGTCGCTCACGTTGAAGTTTGCAGTGACTCTCGGGGGCGAACGGTGTTGCGTCTCGCAGAGAGCTGCCCCACGCCAGCCACCTGCCAGCTCCTGAGGCAAGCGGGTGCCAAACTGGAAGCAGCAGTACCTGGTAATTAATTAAGTCTCCTCTGAACTAAAAGCCCCTTGACCTTTTAATGACAGTCTTGCTTTCTTACACAATCAAGTGCCACGTCCAGTTCAGTCAACTGTACACACAGAGCGTCAAGGACTCAACATTACTCTGGCCAGCATCCTAGAGGGCCTCGCACTCCAGAAATACCTCGAGCTCTTCCAGTTGCACAAAGTCGATCTCCAAGGTTTTGTGGCAATGAGTGAGGATGACCTGCGACGTGTGGGAGTCACGTGAGTTTTCTTGCACTGTATCCCTTGAGTTCTATTACAATAGCCACAATATTTTTACATCTCACTCCCGTATCCAGAAAACTAGGTCCACGCAGAAAAATGGCACTTGAAATATATCGTTTGCGGTCTCTGTTTGGCATAGGTGAAATCTGACAAGCAAAATAGGCAAAGTAATAAAAGGCTGTGCATGTTTATTTTTTTACACATAAAAAAAAATAAAGATTTGTTGAATTACAAAATTTTATTTTAGATAACGGGGAAAATCACAAACAGGAAAACATAGCTCCCATAACATTACAAAGCCAAACGTGAGTTGTGGAACTGTTACCTTAAAGTAAAATGGCACTTACAGATAACAATAAATCATAGACAAAATTTGAATACCTTCTCCACTTCCCAAAAATACAACAGTACTAAAACTAACAATTCTCAAAAAGAAAACCAAACTTGTCCAAATATTAGAAGTTTTTCAATATCTACTCTATGCAACCAAGCCAATGCTATAAGTACAGAGATCTCATCCAACATGACGTTTCATCAGAGAGGGGAGCCCGGATGATCACGGAAACACCACCCACTTTGATTGAACTGTATAATAAGGTTGCCATACCAACAGGAGAGGCTGAGTGCATAGAAATTAATCATCTTATATTAGAACAAATTTGGCAGTCAAAGAATTTCAATTGGTCTCTTAAAAGCACAGTATATATGTACAAAAAACTTAAGTGCAGGGCAAATACGACATAAAAGACACTAGAAACTTATAACTAAACAATTTACATATAAACCAGTCTTAACCAGGTAGCACTATGCCATGTCATTGTGAACGAAAGCCACCCTTCATCAATTGTAAAACCAGGGTCTATTATTAATGGGATAGCCTTGATTGAATTAATTTGCTTCAAAATGGGGAGCCCTGCTAGTCAAGGTGTACTCCCCGATTTGAGACAAAAAACAAATAAGAACAATTCATTAATATGAGAAATCAGTTTCACAACAAGACAGCAGCTTGTATTCACATGAATGCAGTAAATGAGAAAAGGCCTGAGGCAAACATCAATACCAGTAAACATAATTGTCATCATGTAAAACTTCAGTAATTTACAGTCAAGAAATCAGGAGACATAGGCAACTTTAACATAAGGGAAGCACGAGCTTACTTGACATTCTTCAATTCTACCTCAAATACTAAAGTGCTGTTGGGAGGGATTTCTCTACCAGCGCCTTTGGAACCGTAACTGTAAGAAATACCCAGCATTAGATACGGATTAAACAAACACCAATAGAGTGCAGCAATGAAGAAAATGCATACCCCATCTTAGCAGGGATGGTGAGCCGCCGCTTTCCTCCAACCTTCATTCCAGATACACCAATATCCCAACCAGGAATCACCTCTCCTTTGCCCAGGCGGAATTTGAAGCCAGGTCCTGACTGGGATGCATCAAACTGTTTGTTGTTCTGCTTCAAGCGACCCACATAGTACACAGAAACCTACAACGAAGAAAATTACTAGTACCACTACTGAACATAGGTTGCTCCAAAAAGCAAAGCAATATTACTGACCATCTTGCCGCTCTTGGCAACAGGTCCGTTTCCGACTCTCAGGTCTTCAACCTGAACACCCCCTTGAAGAGTCTGCTTGTTGGGAGCTCCATTTGCTTGAGCAGGATTGCCCTGTGAACAATGTGCAAGTGGTTTAGACTTGGGTTACAATATGTTGAAGAAAAACCTCCACATTTTGGTCGGGGATAAGATCAAGGAATATTGATAAAGTATTATTATAAAAAGGAAACTTTTATTCAAAACTGTAACAAAGGTCTGAAGGATGAAATTAGCTGTACAGATGTCTTGGGAATGAAATTGGCAGCAGAAATTGCAAAGACTAGAGAATCCATAATTGAACTCAAATCAGTGGGCTGCAGTTCCATTTTGCTGTTTGTTCTTGTTCCTATTCTTCTTATTTTTCTTTTTGTTACCACTTACATTAACAGCTTTGGTGGGTGCAGGTGCAGCTGCAGGTTTGGCTTGTTCTTTCTTCTCCTTCTTGCCTTGCTTCTGTTCAGCTTTGGGGGAGGACTTGACTTGCTGGTTGTTCTGCTTTCCAGCTTGCTTGGATTTGTCCTTCTTGGCAGCCTCCAACTTCTGAAGAATTTCAGCAGCGCCATCTGAAATTCAGAAAGCACTTCATTAGAAACACCGAAACTAATTTTAAAAAATCAGTAAAGGGAAAACCCAAGAGTAACTAACCATCTTCCTCTGCTTCATCATCATCGTCGTCATCATCTTCCTCTTCTTCCTCCTCCAAATCTTCATCATCGCCATCAGTGTCAACGTCAAAGTCCGAATCTTCCTCATCTTCATCGTCATCTTCAGTAGCAGCACTACTATCAAGCTTGGCTTTCTTTGATTTGTTTTGAGCAGCAGCATCTTGTTTCCGTTTACCAGCAAAGTCTCCCAACAATTTCTTCGTGTTCTTGAAAATATCTGAAAGGAAATTTAACTTCATCATTCAAAAGGTTTAAACAAAATGAAACAAAAAAAACAACAAAAACAAAAAACAAAACAAAAAAAAAAACAAAAAAAAGGCTTGATCACCAGTAATTACAATTCAATTACCTTTCGATGATGCTACAGATTCCTCCTCTTCCTCTTCACCCATTGAGTCATCACTTTCTTCAAAAGATTCCATGTCCTCAATCATGTATCCTGCAAGAGTTTAGGCTATCAATGCAAAGTAAAACTTACAGACATTCATCCAGAAATTCATCAAGATCAATATGTTACCTGTCAAATGGACCACACTGTTGCCCAGAACATGGAAGTTAATTTCACCTCCAAGTTCGAAGTCTAGGTTAAGAGGCACGTTGAAAACATTGTGTTTCTTGGAGAGACTGCACAAAATGAAGTCTGAATCACGTTTGCGGCACACAACAGAAACTGACTCTGCAAATAAATGGACCACAGATTAGTGAGACAATTACATGGGAGGGGAGGGGGATGCCATACCAATAGAACCTACCATTGGCATCACAATTTTGCAAATCAAGGGCAGCCATGGAAACATGGAATGGCTGTTCAACTTCCCTCTGAGTGTAACTCTTCTTAGGTTCAAGCACAAGACCTGAAAGAGTAGAATAGAAATGAAGCGAATTAACAGAGTGCGACCAGCGTCAAATCATCTTGACACAGCAAAGGCAGGAGTTAACAGGTGAACAGCAGTGAGGAAAAGTTGGACCTCAGGCTAGTGTGCTCGCAGGGCGAGATTGAATGAGTGAAAGGGAAGGCCAAATAAAATGATTCAAAAACAAGGCTATCAGTGATGTGGAGGGAATGACCACATTCTCATGAGCTTCGATCAGAATGCCAAATGCAACACAAACGCTAATGAAACGAACAGGCAAGCTGTTGCCACAGGGGGCACTTTCAAAATTTGTGAAAAGGTAGTACGAAGATTCAGACAAGGAATACCAAAAATAATACGATTCAGAGGCCTGATTAGATTCAATCCTGCCAGCGACATGGAATAAATTCTAGTATTCTGGTTACTTCAGAAAAGGCAGACTAAGTTGTCATACGATCACAGTACAACTTTACCACATGTCTGAGATGTTGACACAAGGAACAAACTACGCGAGTACAAACAATAGAAATCTCTCATAAGACAATTGAAAAGGGAATTAATATAGAAATATATCAAAAAGTAGAGAAAATCGGGATACGGCGGGTGTGTGACAAAGCATGAGCCTATCATGGCAGCATGGCATGTGGGGTTAAGTCGCTTCCAGACTAAGGAACAAAGGCATAGGTAAATAGTCTCTGAATATATAAAACTAATGCCTAACGTCAGTTAGAAGTGGTGCGTGTTCACTAAATTTCACAACACGGTGCAACAGAGACAAGTGATGCTTTTAAATGGGCAACCACGTTGCCGGCAAGGATCCGTCATGAACGAAAACGAACTGCCTGGTTACGAGAACTTACCCCAGAAAGCCATTTTCGTGAAGTAAAGAGTAACCGGTGTTCAGAGATTACAGCTGTTGAACAGTGAACACAAATTCAGAACAATGGCAAGCCTTTGAGTAACAGAAACGGGAAATTGTGAAGAGAGCTGGTGGTCGTTACTCTTGCCGCGCTCCAGTCTCAACTAAAACGAAACGTGCGTGCACGATCGCGATGCCGCATTTGACTCCGGACAGTGGAAGAAGGGTAGCCACCTGCTGAGGAAGATGTTACTGATGAAAGACTATTCACTCGCTTGACTGCCGAAAATACACATCAGTTCATTGATTGATTCAACTGGAAAATAATTCATTCCTCTTTCTGGCCATGCCAAAATGTTTTATAGAACTAGTGTTACGTACAACTTACAGATTGGTATTTTGGCAATGTGTTCTTTTTAAATGTTTGTCAAATGTTTTCTTGGCGGATCGCGCTCAAATTCAAAGTTCCCACAATATTAACTGACTTAAAAATCATATTTCTGAATGAAATGAGCTCATGCTATTCAAACAATATGTTAGAATAATTATTAAATAGAACCTTCTCTGTGCACATAGTGAAATTGATGTCACTGCACTCCTTTAACTTTTCATATAACAAAAATAAATTTCGCCCATCGCCCATGTCCGAGACCTTGATTACAACTTGCTGGCAACGTCAGACGCAGACTCGCCAGCTGATGAGTGTCAGAAGTCAAGTGCTGAAAGTATTCTGTTTATTTTCCGAACATTTCAAGATACCAGCCAATGTTTTATTGAAAACATTACTTTCTGCGCATTCGGTCGCTTTCATGATTTATTTGCGTTAAAATGAGTGACGCTTCCACATTGAAGTTCTCACCTTTTGCATCTCATGTTGATCCCAGTTTTTGGCATAAACTATCCCAAATCAAACTTGACATCGATAAATTGAATGAAAGCTTTCGTCCTGTATGGGGTTCATACACCAATGTGAACTCTCTAGGTGTACCTGCTCTAAATGTAGACTGCACTTCATATAATAGGTAAGTAAATGGTGAGTTGAGAAATGTTGGGTTAATTTTGTTTATATCCTCTTAAAATTGGCATAAGCTTTTGGTCTCCTGTTCACTTCAAGTTTTAAATTAATTTGTATTTTTTGTACTGTGCTTAGTAATACTATCTAAACGTTGATTTTGTTCAAGTTCTTCTAATGAGAGATCTTCAAGAACATGTCATTTTAACAACGACGGGATTGTTCGATAACATTATAAAATGCCACCCTTTCAAAAAGAAAATCTTGCCAAGGTATTTTTATTAAAACCAATTTATTTGGCAGTGCATTTGAAGAACTACGGCATCAGCTTCCTGCTTGTGGACATCAGTTAAACCTGAACACCCTCGAGTCCTATAAAAGCTGTGATAAGAGTAATCTCTTGGAGAAACAGGGCTCCTTGTTATGGGAAGACATCACCAGTGGTGCAGTACTAAAAAATCCTTCACTACTGTCACGATTTTTCCTTTTGACGTTTGGTGTATGTATATACTACACACCTTTATTGAAAACTATTTTGTTAAATACTAAAATTATCTTTATGACTTCTTTTTATTTTTAACTCTAGGATCTTAAAAAGTACAATTTCTATTACTGGTTTGCATTTTTGGCACCAAGCAATCCTAGTTTGCAAGTTGTGAAGGCCCCTGCAGCAATCCATGACGAGCTCACTTCCACTCAGGTATTACATAGAATTTGTCAATTTCAACAAGTTGCAAATTGTATACGGTGAGCCTTTTTCAATATATATTTTCCTTTACTTTCAAGGTGGAGTGTTTACAGAAGGAATGGTATAATATTAGTGATGTCAGACATCGTGGGTATTTTATTGTCAAAATTGAAAGGGAAAGAGCTTCAATTCACCCTTTATCAGAAATTACATCTCTTTACAGTCAATCTTGTAAGTGCCGGTAGATATTTTTTTTGTGTAATTTTGTGTCAATCATATTATACATCTAATTTAGTTTAATGTTCCTTTTTTTTTTTTTTTTTTTTTTCAAAATCTTACTAGCTTTGGAAGATTGGTCAAAATTATACCTAGCATTTTCTGATCCTTGTGGCTCTGGAGAACATCCAGGATGGCCACTGCGGAATTTGTTATCAGTTCTTGTTTACCATTGGTATGTAGAAGTAACTTAACATTTCTTTGTAATTTTTTATGAAAATTTGATACATGTTATCCTCTTACTTTTGTTTTCCATCACAGCCCGCATGTGGTGGGGAAAGATATCAAAGTTCTAAGTTTAAGAATTGTTTTAAAGTCTCATGCCCAACTAAATATCGCAGAAAAAAGTTTAGTGTTGACTGTACAGCCTCTACCACTCTCAGAAAAAGATATAAAGTGGATTGGCTGGGAACGCAATAACCGTGGAAATTTTGGCCCACGTTTTGTTGATGTTAGTAATGATATGGACCCAAAAAAGTAGGTACCTGTTAAATAATGTAAAATACTGCACTTTACCATTTTTCCACTATAGTGGACTTATCTGTGACTATGTAACTTATTTTTAGGCGTGCAGAGAGTGCTGTACATCTTAACTTGAAACTAATGAAATGGAGATTGCTTCCTGATTTGGACTTGGATGTGGTGCAACAGACTCGTTGCCTTCTAATGGGAGCAGGAACACTGGGATGTACTGTTGGGCGTTTACTTCTGGTATGATTCTATAGACTATTCTATATGTACCTAATTTAATTGGAGTAATTTATCCATATTCATGATTTGGCTTCTTTCAGGGCTGGGGAGTACAGCACATCACATTTGTAGACAATGGAATTGTATCCTACTCTAACCCAGTACGTCAGTCTCTGTTCACATTTGAAGATTGTTTAAAGGGGGGTCAACCGAAGGCTGAGGCCGCTGCCAAAGCATTAAAGCTGATTTACCCAGGTGTGGTGAGTGAGATTTGACATCAGATGAATATCTTTAACATGTGAGTAACAAATTATATACAATCTATCCGTTTTCTTCTTTCCAGAATGCAACTGGTGTACAGCTCAACATTCCAATGCCAGGGCATCCTGTTGGTGAAGCCCTTTTAAAAGAAACACGTAGTGCTGTGGATTCATTGGAGACACTAGTTGATAACCATGATGTAATATTTATGCTGACTGACTCCAGAGAAAGTCGTTGGCTCCCCACACTATTTGCTGGTGCTAAAAAGAAGGTAAAATTACCCAGACTAATCCCCCACGCCCTCCCCTCCCAACAAAAAAAAATAATCAATCTAGTAGCTGACAAGCTGCTGACATGATCATCTTACCCATAATTGGTTTGCAGCTTGCCATGAATGCAGCCCTTGGCTTTGATACATACCTTGTCATGAGGCATGGAATATTTTGTAATGATGGCTCCACTCCAGATTTCAGTGCAGAAAGCATTCCAGGACGACATCTAGGTTGCTATTTCTGTAATGATGTCACTGCTCCTGGTAATGTAAGTATTTTGTCACTTAAATTTGTTCAATGATTTGTGGGAGTCTTATGTCAAATTATTATTATTTGTCAATGAATTTTTAAAATGTTAAAGTCCATGGCTGATCGCACATTAGACCAACAATGCACAGTTACAAGACCTGGAGTATCAGCCGTAGCTGGGGCTCTTGTTGTAGAACTCATGGTGTCTATTTTACAACACCCCCTGAGGTAAGATTTCGACTTCTAAGGCATTAAGCAACAATTTTGCTCCCATTCATTAATCCGTGAAATTGACATACAAACAAGTGTTTAAACCGACATGCAAACAAGTGTTTATCTTTATGTTTCTCCCTCCCATCCTTTTTTTGTAGGGGTGATGCACCTGCAATATTACACACTAAAAAGGGGGAAGAGCATAAGGAAAGTGAAGGAAGTTTGTTAGGAAGTGTGCCTCACTCTATTAGAGGTTTTCTTGCATCATGGGAACAACTAACACCTGCAACTCACAGATTTTCTAACTGTATTGCATGCTCTCAGAAGGTATTTACTTTTTTCTCTACTGATGTATTGTGTTTGTTTATTATATTTCATAATTTACCCTTGTTGACTCACAGGTCCTAAATGAATATTCAGCCCGAGGATTTGACTTTATCCATGATGTATTAAACTCAGCTGTTTACCTTGAGGACCTAACAGGACTCACTTCTTTACACAAAGATACCGAAAGTGCTGATGTGAGTTTTTATGTTGTATAGTATACTCATTTTTTTAAATATGTGATCTCTCATTCAATAAGTACATCAACCACCTTTTCTTTTTGTTTTTTTCCAATTGTAATAGGTATGGGAGTTCAGCGATTCAGAAGAAGAGAGTGGAAACGATTCAGAATGAAAATATTTTATAAATCTATATCAATGCTATGACCGCTTATTTTATTATTTTATTTCTGTTTATCGCTTTTATTATTTACATTTTATATAATGAAGATCACCTTGTTGAACTGTTCCACATCAAATAAAATGTGGGTGCTTACTTACTTAATCACTCCACAAGTTACCACTCGGTGGTTGGTTTTTCATTTCAAATTTAACCGCCCCTTTCCCTTCCTCCCCTCTATCACCACCGTTGAACAGGCAAAACTAGCCATTGTTCAGAAGGTTTGGTTTCTCGGTCTTGTTGCTGCTGCTGTGAATCTATGGCGAGCCGTCTAGTTACACAATAAGAAACAATACGAAAACAATACTATTAGCTAATAGATGCCCAGAAGTGAACTAATGAACGGACATCATACAATATGTGGCAACACTGTTGTTTGCTTTTTTGTTTTCTATTGCTGCGAATAGCGCTTTTTCATGAATTGTGAATAGGTGGTTCGGTGTTTGGTGGTTAGTTAGGTTAGTTTTGTTTTTGATTGGATAGATTTTGTTTGAATTTCCACAACTTCATGTTTTTCTATGTTGACCACAAATAACTATATTTTTATTTTAGATTGTTTAAATGGGGCGTTGCGAAATGCTTATCCATTTAATTGTCTAAAGTTCTTCATGTGAGCAGGGAAATACCTTCTGCTGACTGCTTAATATTTTTCTATTAGATATACCTCAAGTAAGAAAGGTTTCTGGTTTAATAGTATGTTTTCAAAACCGTTTCTCGCATTGGGATCTATTTCCAAGAATGTCTTTTACTGAGTCGAATTATTACTTTGCTTCTCCTAGACTCATCATGAGCTACAACAGAGGATCTGATGGAAAACCCCGAGGATTTGGCTTTGGAGGTTTCCAAATGTCTAAACGTGAGCAGCGATCTGCAGCAATCCCACCACCACCATCCAGCAATGTTAGCAAGCACGGCTACTCCACTATGTCATCAATCACTCAAAATGCTATGGTTGCCAGTGGATGGGGTGGGCCTAAAAAGAGGGCAAAAACTGAAGATGAGTATGTCTCCCAAGTTTGTTTTGTTTGTTGTCTCAGTCGAGACATCTTCATTATTTTTATTTCATGGTGACTACATTGCAGATACTTTGAAGATGATGATGAATCTTCGGCTGCACCTCAGCTAGCATACATTCCAGCACCAGGTAGCCCATCGTATGAAGGCAACAAAAAAGATTCAGACTCAGAAGAAGATCCTCTTGACGCTTTCATGGCTGGCATAGAGCAACAAGTAACTAAGGAGAAGAAGAGGGCTGATAGTGCCAAGGATAAAATTGAAGAAGATAAATCCAAAGGCATAAGAGATGATATTGATGGTGAGGATGTTGAAGAATCGTATTACAGGTATATGGAAGAAAATCCAATGGCTGGTGTTCAAAATGAGGATGAAGATGATGAAATGGAATATGACGAGGATGGAAACCCCATTGTCACTATTAAAAAGAAAGTAAGATATTTTTCTCTTCTTAAATAAGATGAAGCATGGAAACACATCAGGTCACCTGGTAGTGAGAGTAGAGAGAGAGCCTTAACTATGTTTAATACTAATGTGGTTATCTTTTCCTCACCTTCATTTCAGATTATTGACCCCCTGCCTCCAATTGACCATTCAACAATTACTTACACTCCATTTGAGAAAAACTTTTACAATGTTCATGAGGAAATTAGTAGTTTATCACCTGCTCAAGTAGCCGAACTACGTCATAAACTTGGCCTAAAGGTAATTTTGAGTCAAATCAAATGTTGTTTGTCTGTTTTATCTATTTTCTGTTTCAAGGGTTAATGATTTTGAAATTCTCTAGGTGACAGGGGTGTTACCTCCTCACCCTGTTACAAGCTTTCCACACTTTGGGTTTGATGATCCACTCATTAAAACTATTCGTAAGCTTGAATATACACAACCCACTCCTATTCAAGCACAAGCTGTCCCTGCTGCTTTGGGAGGAAGAGATATCATTGGTATGAAGAATGTATTTAACTTTCAGTTACATTGTAAACATATAAATTCAGTTTGCAAATTGTTTTGATGTGACTTCTTTCAGGTATTGCAAAAACTGGAAGTGGTAAGACTGCTGCCTTTATATGGCCTCTTCTCGTCCACATAATGGATCAAAGACAGCTAAAACCAGGGGAAGGACCAATAGGTCTTATATTAGCTCCAACAAGAGAACTTTCACAACAGGTTTGCTGCTTTTAAACAACTATTGATAAGAAGCAAATCAATTTTTTCTCTGAGTTGATTTAAAGCTATTTTTATTTTCAGATCTACAATGAAGCCAAGCGATTTGGTAAAGTGTATGGAATTCAAGTTTGCTGCTGCTATGGTGGTGGATCAAAGTGGGAGCAGAGCAAAGCTCTCGAGTCAGGAGCGGAAATTGTTGTAGCTACTCCTGGTAGAATGATTGACTTGGTGAAAATGAAAGCTACTAATCTGGAAAGAGTCAGTTTCCTTGTGTTGGATGAGGCTGATAGAATGTTTGACATGGGTTTTGGTAAGGCTTAATTATTTTTTTATTTTTTTTTTGTAAATGCAAAATTCCAATTTGAAATTATTTTTCTTAAAGTTTCTTTTGTCTTCCTTCTGAAGAACCGCAGGTGCGATCGATTTGCAATCATGTCAGACCAGATCGCCAGACTTTGCTATTCAGTGCAACATTCAAAAAGAGAGTGGAGAAACTTGCACGTGATGTGTTGACTGATCCAATACGTATTGTTCAGGGAGATGTAGGAGAAGCAAACGAGGATGTCACCCAAATTGTGCTGGTTCTCAGCTCTCTCCCAGCTAAGTGGACATGGCTGTTAGGTCATATTGTTGAATTTTTATCAGCTGGAAGTGTTCTAATATTTGTCACTAAAAAGGTATGTTTATGTAATTGATATGTAACCAGCTTCATTCGTGTTGAACTCTAGTTATACTTTTCAAACAGTGCAATATATTGTCTTGTTATGAACATTATTTTGTGTTTACAGGCTAATGCAGAGGAGTTGGCTAACAATTTGAGACTGAAAGAGTATGAATGTCTGCTGTTGCATGGTGATATGGACCAAATAGAAAGAAATAAGGTCATAACCAATTTTAAAAAACAAGAATGCAACATTATGGTGGCTACAGATGTTGCTGGTATGTATTCTACAATATGTTATTATTATTGTGTGTTTCAGCGTTAAGTATATTCATGAAAATAATTCATGTTTTCTCACAGCACGTGGTCTGGATATTCCTCACATAAGAACTGTTGTTAATTATGATATTGCCCGAGACATTGATACTCACACCCACAGAATAGGGCGAACAGGTAAGAAGAAAAAGTATTAGATTTAAGGTTGAGTATTTACAATTCCTCTCTTCAATCTGGACATCCTTCGTATATGTTATTATTTATTTAATTTTTACCCAGGTCGTGCTGGTGAAAAGGGAACTGCATACACACTGGTCACGGATAAAGACAAGGAATTTGCTGGTCATCTTGTGCGCAATTTGGAAGGTGCAAATCAGGAAGTCCCCGGTACCTTGTTAGATCTAGCTATGCAGGTAAATCAAGTGCAAGATGTCAATATATTTTCTTTAGGTAATGGTTCTCATTATCTTCATTCATATAATTTTTAAAATCATGTTTGTAGAGTGCTTGGTTTAGAAAGTCACGCTTCAAGGGCGGCAAGGGCAAAAAGCTCAATGTTGGAGGACAAGGACTGGGATTCAGAGAAAGACCTGGATTGGGAAGTGGTGATAGTGGTGGTAGCAGTAGTGGTGGTCAGAAGAAGCCAGGCCCAGCCGCCTCTGCCTATGGAAGCCTTAACTCAAGTTCATTAGTAAGTGCGCACTTACAGCTGCAATGCTCTTATCATCTGATAAATTTGTAAAGTCTTTGTAATCAATGTATTTGTGTTTATGCAGCCATCTGAAGGTCAGAGAGCAAGAGGTCCTGGATCAGATCGACTTGGGGCCATGAAAGATGCCTTCCGAGCTCAATACATGAGTCAGGTAAGTGCAAAAGATGAAATCAGAATTATGTTTCTCATTCATATATTGGTCTCACTAATTCTTCTTTAAATTATTTCCAGTTTACTGCATCTGAGGATACAACTTGGGAAAAGACAATGCAGAAATCTGATTATGGTAGTGTAAAACATGAAGGCAGTAACAAGACCAGTAATTCAAGCAGCTCCAGTAGCAGCAGTGGTGGAACCACTCTCAGTTCTGGCACATACATTGCTGGTGGTCCACCCAGAAACTTAAACTACCCTCCTCCTCCCCCCTTTGTTGCAGCATCATCATCTAGTGATAGCTCATCGAGGTCAGACTCGAGAAAAAAAAGGAGTAGGTGGGACGACAATTGAATCAATTGCTTCACTGCTTGAATCTTTTGATATTTCCAGAAATACAATTGTCTGCTGTGTTTCACATTTTGCTACAATTTTCATTTGTGAGCTGTGATCTGTCATTTATAGGTGGAAAATTTTGAAAATTTGTAATATTGAACTGTAAATTTAGAACATTCTTCTAATACTGCTATGGGTCACAGTTACATAATTGATTTTTTTTTCTGAGCTCACTTTTTATAATTATTTACAAAGGTCTTTTGTAAGTGTTTGTTGAGTCAGTAATTTTCTCAATATCCTCACTTTTCATCACAAGTATAGATTTTGAACAATTCTGTATCCCTGTTTTTGATGTGTAAATATGTAGAAATAAGGTAATTTAATTCATGAACTTTTAGCAGACCTAAGATTAATTTTTCTTCAAAAATGTTAATTTTCTCAAACCGTTAAGATGGAAGTATTCACCTTACTTGAATTTGAACTCAGGCCTTTTCTGGCTGTAGATTGCCCCTCCCCATGTCATTGTAAGTGCCGACAGGCCTTCCTCTATGTAATTGAGTTGTGTGTAAAGTGTAGTTTCTGAAATGACTCAGGTTAACCTCTAGAGTAGGTTTAGTTCTGGATCAATTTTATATTTCTTGAAACAGTTGTTGAACAGTCATCAGAATAATAAAGGACAACAGACAGCGCTCCACCAGTTTAAATCTGAGGGGAAATCTTCAACAATTCCAGTCTATGTATGCAATCAACTTTAAATGTTTATCCTGAAGATGGAAATTGTATTACTCAATACTAAATTATGTTTCATTAGCCCTACTAAAAAGTCCCTACTTTTTTATTTGTGTACCAAAAACAAATGCAAGATCAAGTGTTTCAGTAATAAATTTTGGACGGTGATTTGGTCACAAAAACTAGGTACAAAATGTATGTTAGTTGCTGTAAATTTTGTGCATTGTAGAACTTACAAAAAATATTAAGTACTCCAAGACGCAGTTTTCTTTCATAACACTAACTTACTGGCTGTATAACTAAACAAATTACTGAAATCAGAAGGAAAAAATATCAGATGAGTCGTTTTTTTGGCAATATAACAATAACAATGGGAAAATATCAAACCGATGAAGATAAGTTTAAACAGTTCCTCCTCACTAAAAATGCCATACCACTACAGCAGTTTTGATTTATACTTTCACAAACTACTTAAACTACCCTACAAGAGATGGAATTCATTCTGTCAGTTATTAATGAGAAAAACATTTCTTTGGCACAATAATTATCGTTTTTGCTTCTTCTCTACTGCCATAACAATAAATGAAGAGATCAGGGACAGTACCCTCAGTGGACATCAACTGGTCAAAATGAAACCACTTCAAAACTTAATCTTCTTGGTCGTCTTCTATGACGTCAACTTGATATCATAGCAGACGGTCAAGATAGACGAATTTTTAATTTTACCCCATTTTGACAACGAATTCTGTTTACTGGGCCAACTACATCTAGTTAGAAGTTATCAAGGAAGAATACAAAATTTGGCACTAATCCCATGTCTTGGGAAGTTAGTGCTTGTTCTCTGGAAGCAGTAGAATCTTTGTTGGAGAAAAGCAAGCAGAGGCCCTGGAAGGTGATTGTCCATTTATTCACTACATATACACACACGTCTTGCCTTAGGCCTTCCAGAGGCTCTGCTTGCTCCGAATAACAACCTAACTCATCATCTGAAACCGCGCAACTGCTTTGAAACGAGCCTCAGCGCGCTGTCTAGAAAGCGTAGTGGTGCAGGAGCAGCTTCCACACGGACAGCGGCCGCCTGAACACCGTGACCTGGCCGTGCTCCTTGCCGCCCACCACGAACATGTAGACCGCGGCGGGCTGCGGCCGCGCCGGGGCGCCGTCGCCCTGGTCGTTCCCTCCGCCCAGATCGGTCCGCGCGTGGCCGCGCTCGGCGCGGGAGGCGCTGCTCGCTCTGGACTTGTTGGCACCGCGCGCCTGGAGGGCAGAGAGGACTCTCACGTCATGGCTGCGGCGGCCGAGGGCTGCTGCTGGGGCCGGGGCTGGTCTGGTACTCACCACGTGGTTGTTGTGGTGGTGGTGATGGTGGTGGTGGTTGCAGGCCGGGTGCGCCGTGTTCCGCAGCGCGAGCGACTGCGGCGGCGCGCGCTTGGGCGGCGACCCGATGGACCCCATCTGCTGCAGCTCCACCACGTCCTCGTCGCGGTCCTCGCGGAAGCACCGGCTGCTCGACCTGCCGTGGGGGTCCTCGAGCAGCGAGTCGGGCGGGGAGTTCAGCAGGCGCGCGGCCGCCTGCTGCGGCGTGGAGGCCCCGGAGGGCGAGCCGAGCCCCGGCGGCGCCATCCCCGCGTGCCAGGACTTGCGCACGGCGGCCTGCGCCTGCTGCTGCTGCCGCCGCCGCGCCGCCTCCGGCCCCACGTAGTTGGGGTTGCAGAAGCTGATGGGGCCCTCCTTGATGGGCGTCTTGCGACCCGAGCTCGGCCGGGACGACGACTTGCCTGTGGAGGCGAAGGAAAGGCGGTGCTGTTAGCGGAGGGAGTAGGTGAGGGATACTTTACTATAAGTTCAAGCGTACACACAATTTTTTTCTGATTTTTTCCAATGGTTTCTTATTGATTTTTCCTTGATATCTGATTATTGGAGGGTGCATACCGGTGCCCAATACCTCAAATTATTTCAGCCAGCGCCACCTATCGCGGTTGACCTGACCTCCCTGGTGCGGTGTTTAGACCCGCCCTGAGCCCCCGGGGGGAGGGGGGCAGTAATAGGGTGGTCGAGTCAACTCAAGTGGAGCGGCAAATAACCAGCGGGGTCGGGTCCGGCGGCCATCGATTGAGCCAACAACTGCCTGGACGGGGACGGGACGCGATAGGACTCCGCGGAAACTTGACTAATTGGGGCTTTTCTCTCTCGGTGGATACGCTTGCCCCCCGGGCCGCCCCCTCACAGAGGCCGGCGAACTTAACGGCCCCAAACTGTGCGCATTAAAAGAACTTAAGACGCAAACGGAGCGTTGGGAAGTTGATTGGAAAGGATTATTGTGATACCGCGGGCAGAATAACGATCTGTAGCTCACCTGAGTCGACGGGCGACGGTCTGTTGCTGACGCTGTAGTTGCTGGCGGACGACAGACGGTTGACCGTCTCGATGCTCGCGTAGTCCGATGTGCTCGAGATATTTTCGTCGGACACCTGCATACGGGGGAGGAGTCGTCGTGTCAATGTCTGCTCCAATCTGCATAGGTATAAGGCAACGTGAAGTATGACGCACCTCTTCCAGGTGGGGCTGAAACCGCACGGACGCAGACTTGGGTATCGTCCTGCCGTGCTTCTGCTGCAGCTGCTCCTGCTGCAGCTGCTGCTGCCGCATCAGCTCCTGCTCCTCCTGCAGCTGCCGCTGCTGCAGCTCGGCGGCGTGCCCCAGGTGCGAGGTGTACGACTCGGAGCGGCGCTTGGGCGTGAACTGCTGGTGCAGCAGGCTGAAGTCCCTGCTCGCGCTGCTGGGGATGCCCCCGAGGACGCCCCCTACGGGCGTCCCGGGCCCCACCGGGCCCCCCGGCGACGCGGGACGGATGTACTCCCCGCGGGGGGACAGCTCCTCGTCGTCCTCGGGCTCGTCCGAGTCCAGAAACACCAGCCGGGCGGCCTCGACGGGCGTGAGGACGGGCGTCGGCAGCGAGGACGCCAGCGTGGTGAAGTTTGGCACGGACGCGTTGTCTCGGGGGAGCGGCTTCCGCCTCGGGATGCTCGACCTGCGGGAGAGTCGACAGTCATGGACATGGACAGGTGCACGCGAGGGTTGTGCCCATCGTCGTCGTACTCACAGGGTGGGACGCTGCCTGCGGGAGATCAGGTTCACAGACTGGGACTTGACGAGCTTGGAGACGGGCTTGGCGCCCGGCTGCTGGCTGTGCGGCGGCGCGCTGCGCGGCCCGGCTTGCGGCGAGGGGCCGTCCTGGTCCTGGCCGTCCTCATCCACTGTGCTCTCGCCCGCGTCCGCGTCCAGCACCGAGTAGTTGCACTTGTGGTGCGCGAGGCGGCTCAGGTTGATCTGGGAGAGCTTGGAGATCTCTTTGAGGAAGCCCAGATTGCTGGAGCCGTTCTGCGGCGTGCTCGCCTGCGGGCCGTTGGGCAGCCCGTTCCGCCTGTGGGGTGCATGGCAGTCAAGCGTTAGACAGAGGTGGGACGGGGGACTGGTCGGACAGAGCTACTGGTGGTGTAGGAAGAATAAGAGATTTGACAACTACAATCGAAAGCTTCAAGAAACAACGACTGTTTGCTGACATGCCATAGTTATTATCTCACCATTGCATAAACAATAAAAGAGATTACAACTCCTACCATGCCATCTATACTAATATACTATTTTTAAACGTAAACAAAGTATACTTGTTTAATGGGTTATACGTCATCACAAAGTAATGTCATACTTTTTGCAATTCATTAACTACTCTCCGGCTCCAGTGCATTGGTCGATCGAATCAATATAAGTTCAACATAAATTTATTTCATGCCATAAAGCACACGTCGAGCCCACAAAATACGAAACATCCATACGGCTTTCATCATGCAGAATGCAGAAGAGATGAAAGGCAGGGCCATGCTATAGCGACCAGAGGGGTTGGGTTGTAAGGAGAGGGGGTGGGGCGAGCACAAAGCCCCAGCAAAGTACCAACGAGCTGGGGCGGGGGTGGGTCCTGGAGCGTGCTGTCCAACCCCCCCCCCCCCTCCTCCTCCTTCATCCCTCTCCCTCCCGGACCAGGACGCCCTGGTAGATAAACGGCCTTCGCTCGCAGGGAGCTGCTGTAATCCTGCCCGGGTGCAAATCGTCGTCCATTGTCTCCCTGAAATCATTGAATTCCCGCCCTTCCGCCCCATTCCCCGTCCGCAGCCTCTCCCAGCTCCGGACCCAGCTCTCGACTCTTCTCGCCCGCCCCTCCCCTCCCCCTTCTCTTCCCGAACCCCACCTTCATCGGCACGACTCGCCCCTCTCCAAACCCTATCATTGTTCTCGCTGAATCAGCCGAATCAGCGATATTGCTTTTTAGCTCGCCCATGCCCCACGCGGCCCCACGCCCCATGCCCGTCGCCCGTCTGCCTGCACTTTCGCCTCTGGTGGGCCACGCGACGCGACTGCGGGGGCTGGCTACCCTGGGCTACCTTCTGAGGTGTCATTATGGACCGCATAACGCTTTACTACCCGGACATACCACGGGGCCATACCGGTCCGAGGTCTACACGCTGCGCTGCCAAAGGTCTACATCGAGGTCTACGCCCAAGCCTACGCATGCCATATATATGGGTGTGAATGTGTGACCTGTTGTTGTCCTCGCTGCCGTCCACGTAGTTAGTGGCACTGGCCCTGAACACGTACTTCTTCTCCTGCGGCGCCTGCTGCGGCGACACCCTGTTGTGCAGGGCCATCCTGCGGTCCGACTGCCGGTCCACGGAGCCGCCGGCGCGCACGCGGCGCAGCTCCTGCGGGTCCTGCTGCGGGGAGCGGGCCTCGCGCGCGGCCGGGGACGCCGCGGACGAGGCCTCGGGCGAGGACAGCGACGAGGCGGCGGCCGCCGTGAGCAGCAGCTCGGACACGGACAGCGCCACGGCCTCGGCGCGGGCCGAGGGCTTGGGGCCCTCCACCACGACGCGGTCCCACGTCTCGGTGCCGAAGTGGAAGCGCCACAGGTCGGCGCAGGGCTGGCCGGCGCGCTCGCCGCCGAACACGAGCATGCAGCCGGGCAGCTTGCAGGCGGCGTGCGAGTGCAGCGGCCCGGGGCCCTGCTTCACCTGCTTGCCGCGCACGCACTGCCAGCGCTTGCGGTGCAGGTCGATGCGCCACAGGTCCTGGCGCTCGTTCAGGTCCGTCATGCCGCCGTACACCCACATGGTGTCCTCGTGGATCACGGCCGAGTGCTTGTGGCGCGCCGGCGGGATGCTGTCCGACTTGCTCACCGTCTTCCCCGAGCTGATGATGTGCCATGACTCGGTGTCTAAATTTCAAAAAAAAAAAAACAAGTGTAAGGACTTATTTTTAAAAAATCGTCTTAAGAGGTGTGTGAGACCAAATGCAGTAAGAGGCAGAACGCTGCCGCCAGCCTCTGCGGCCCCCTGCTCCCTTTTACCGAGGCTTTCACCCGGCTCCGCGCCACGCTCGCGCGGCTGAGCTTTAATTCATCGCATCATCATTACGCGAGCGCTTATGACTTGTACGCTCCGCCGGCTCCACACACACACCCAGAGTAAGGGGGCGTGGGGTGGGGCCGGGAGACGGGGAGAGGCGAAGAGCAGGAGCCTGCTCTGCAGCACCGCCGCCCTCCTTACCAAAGTGGAAGGCCCAGAGCTCGTTGGAGGAGCCCCTGAGGTCCCGGTAGCCGCCGTACACCAGCATGCTGCCCCGGTACACCAGGGCCGAGTGGCCGCGCCGGCCGCGCGGAGCCGCGGCTCCCTTCTGGCCGCCGGCCTTCCTCCAGGAGTTGGTCTGCAACAGTGGAAAGAAAGTCGAAGACGAGTTAATTTCACATCAAGAAAATCGGCAAAATATTTCAACCTCGCGACGCGTATGCTGTTGGAGAGGAAGTAGAGGATCTCTCCACGCGCGCCTGTGAAGTCGAGGGTAGGCCAGCCGCCCGACGCGCGTGGCGGCGGGGGTCGCGCGCTGCCTACCTCACCAGGCGCCCGCCGCCCGCCCCGCTGCTGGAGTCGCTCCCCCTTCAGCTCCATAGCGGCTGCCCCCGCGCCCTGTATGGTAATGCGATGTGGCGGGGGGACTCCACACGACGGGACGAGCTTATGCAGAGCGACGCCCCAGCCCCTCTCTCAGCCACGGCCAAACTTGATGAAGTTACGCTCGGCTTGGCGCAGAATGTTTTTAAAAATATTTTTTCAAGTCGCAGCACCGCAGTTGCCGGGCCACCGTGGTGTTTCTTTTTTATTTAATCCGCTGCTCATCGCTTCAAGGGGGAGCCCGCCGGCCTGGCTCGTCCTGCCTGAGGAAGTTTTAATGGAGATAACCTGCCGCTCCCTTGCCATCCGGCGCCGCCGTGTCACGGCGGTTGAGCATAGCGTGGCCCACCGTGTTCGAGGACGAGCACAGCTATTTTTGTTTCATGCCTCCTCAAGAAAAAAAAAATTGCCGTAATTATAGAACGATGATGATGTTGCTGTGCGCGGGGGAGGGTGGGTGCAGAGGGAGCAGAGGGGAAATTTCTCCGACAGAGGTGTTCTCTTTTCTTATGCTGCGTTGCCGCGTTACAGTTTTGTTCATCGGCCCTGCTGCTGCTGCTGCTGCTGCTGCTGCTGCTGCTGCTCCGCCACCCTAATAACTCTGGCGCCAACCCTTACGGCGCTAGATCACGTGGCTGTGCCTGGCTCCGCTGCAGCCGAAGGGGGGTGAGGGGGCCCCCCTTAGGGTCTGCGGCAAGAGATAAGGCACGCTCACGCCCGCGGCACGCGGCCCCCCGCCGCCCCCGCCCGGGGGGGATCAATATACGCGGTCGGGGGGAGGTGCCGCGGGGGAGCGTGAGCTGGCGTGAGCGAGCGTGAGCACACGGGCGTGCTGCTTGCTCTGCGCGAGTACAGTCAGCACGACCCACCTCTCCCCACCACTTCCCCTTGACTACGACGGATATAACGAATCTCTTATACACATGCGTGTGCGTTATTCCCTTTTTTGTCTCCCCCCCCCCCTTTCGTTCCTTTCTACCCCCCTCATTTCCAGGTCTGCGGAACGGCTTGAAGCGGGCGTGAAGAGAAGAAGCCGCCGCCGCCACCGTTTCGCGCGGCAATGGGGTAACAAAACGGGGGCGGCGCGCGCACAGGGGTCTCCGGGGTCCCCGAAAGGAGAAAAATACGGCTCCAAGGCCGAGACTCGCCGGCCGGCCGGCTTGAGGGAGGGGGAGGTTGGGGGGCAGCGGCGGCCGCAGGGACGGGAATAAGGTGCTATGTATGGCTGGGGCCGGGCCGGAGTGGAGCCATGAAATAGTCAAGGAGCCGTTCAGGCCGGCAGGCGGAGGGGCTCCAGGGGGAGGTAGGGAGGGGGGAGGTGAGAACTGCATTAGAAAATATTGAGGCCGGGGGGGTAGGAAGAGGGCGGGCGGGGGAAGGGGGGGGGATATTGGGAAGCATCGGGTTGGGGAAGAAGAGAGAAAATAGGGAGGCGGCGCGTGATTGCGGTCCGGAATGTGTCTTTGTGTGCGTGAGAGTGAGAGGGTGAGTAGAGCGAGAGGGAGGGAGGGAGAGAGAGGGGGAGAGGAAAGGGGGAAGGAGAAGTTGTCTGAGAAGTTTTGGAGCGCGCGCGCGCAGGAGAGGCGCCCGGGCAGGGAAGTGAGGGTGTGAGTAGAAAGGAGGGCGGTGCGGTGCGGGGGTTGTCGAGGTTGTCGATTGCCACACACTACTACTGCAAAACCCCGGGGCCAAGAAGGGGCCAGGGTCGGTCCGATATTGTACACGGGCGGACCACAGCGACGGACGGGCCGCTAAGGAAAAAACTTAGTATAACGCGTTTGAGCCACCAAAAGGGCTGGCGCAAAACTGGGGCACCGCTTCTGGTTCAAGGCGTCGACGTTGTCGGGGAGGCGAGAAAGCGGGGAGCGGGCGGGGCAAAGCGGCTGGGGACCATAATAACGTCTTTTAAGCGTTATTTAATGGTTCTGTGCAGCAGACCGGCGGGACGGGCGTGGAGTTGTTTGAGCTTCTCGTCCGCGAAGGAGAGGCGCGAGCGAGGGCGTGGACGCGGAATAAGGTGCCTGCGGTGTCGTCTCGCCACCACACCACACCCCCGTCCCTTCCTTTGTACCGCTGCTGCCCGGATAGCAGAGGCGAAACCTCCTTTATTCCGCGAATCAATAACCGTATCGCGGGAATGGGCATTGATGGACGCGGAACGAAACCCTCGAATCGCGTCGCCCCACCCGTTAGAGCCGCAAACCGTCGTGTTTGCGATGCGATCTCGGGTCGGGGGCGGCCAGAGTCCTCTGAGAGGGGCGGAGCGCGCGGGGATCGGCTGGAGTGGCTGCAGGGAGGGACCCACCACCAGCCGGGGGGCCGCCTCCTCCAGGGACCGCATCTGTCCCCTCCAGCAGGCCCTCGAGAGCGCCGGGGACGAGAGTGGTGGCCCCCGAGGGGGGTCGACCCCTGGCGATGACGTCGATAGGACGTCAGGGCCGCGCGATAACGATGGTCCAGTCTCCATAAGTCATTGGTAAAAAGTGAAAAGGGCGCAAGTCCATTCCATTCGACTTACGCCCTTTTCACTTTTCACTAGTGAAGTAAATCAGGTTCTGCTTCTACTGTCGATGCGTCGTGCACCGCGACGGACTCGCGTTATGCTCGCAAGGGTCTTAAAAGTAAGTGTGATCGGGCCTCGCGGAAGCACATGGCCCGGAGAGGGAGAGCCACGCAACAGGCATGACCTTGTTAGCGGAGTGCAGTGCTCTTCGTCTCCGCGGCGCCGCCAGGCCCGGCCCGGCCCCGGCCTGCCCCGCCCCGCATGGGCCCGCAGACATTACCATACCACAGCACGGGCACGCCAACTGCCAACGCCCCTGGCGCTCGGCACGCTCGGCGGCACGAGCTCGGCATGCGCTCGGCTCTTGTCATGTAAAAATGGCAAGCAGTCCGAAATTATGAAGTGTACAGTTGATAAAGAAACTTGCACAATTTTCAAAAGGACAATTTTTTCCCCTTGCTCTTTTTTCCTCGCTACGCTTCACCATGATGAGAGACACTCAAAAGACGCTACCAGGCGTGGGGCGGGCGGGGAGCGAGGGGACGCCACGAGGACACCGCGCGGGTGCCCCGCCAGGCTCATGGAATGCCCCCGCCCCTGCCCGGAGTCTCCCCCTCTGGAATGGGATGGCGATATGCAGGCGAATAACAGCGGGTCGTGCGCGGGGCCCCAGCTGGGCCGCCGGCTCGGCTGGTGGCAATGCCGCCGCCGGGCCCGCCCCGCTCCTGCCAGGGCCTTCTGTCCCCGTGCTGCTCGTGCGGGGAATTTATTGGAAAGCGACCGGGGAGAAGTGGAGGCCGCCCGCCGCGGGGGGCTTCCCTCGGGGGCCCCGGAATAAGCAGGCCGCGATATTACATTCCCGGAGCGGGGCGGGGCGGGGCGGTGCAGGGTGGGGCAGGGGCTGAGCGAGGGGGCCACGCCGGCGAGCATGTTTACTTCAACAGCCTCGTTAGCGCCGGGCCCTGGGGAGCCATGCAATGTGCCGAGCCGAATGGCGATACCATAGCCGTGTGCCATACCCGTTGTGCCTCCGCCTCCGCCGTGGTAGTGGTGGGGCGAGCCAAGCCAAGCAACTCATCTGACACGCACACCAGGCTCGGCGGGCTCGCGGGGGGCTGAGTGAGATGAGCGGTGTTACCTATCATACGAATGCGGTAGCGGGGGTGTTCCCCGCGGGGCGTTCCACCAGGCTCGAGACCAGAGGCTCTACCCCGAACTAACTACCTCCCGCGGCGAGGCGGGGCCGTGTCGATATCGCTCCGAGATGCACGCGCGTGCACCACCACACCTGCCAGGTGCACGGCGACAGGCCCCAGTTACAAAGTCATGGCTGCGCTACTTATAGGGCTCCGTAGCCTTGGCCCAGTCGTTTCTAAAACTGGAAAATAACGACCTGTTCGGATGAAACGAAAGTGGGTCGCGGGAAACAAAACGAAGACGTCTCGTCTCATATCGACACACAAACAATGTAATATGAAACGCCTTTGAAATACGCTTGCATTGACCTTATTACACACCTGAGTGCGGTACACACCGAGGTACACTGCATAAGGGATCATCCAGAAAGTACGACCGTCATTTGCCGTTACGAAACTGCCAAGCTCAGCCTGAGCGAGTCCTCCTAGCGCCTGATGGGTAGGCAAAATATTGCATGCAGTGCATGTGTGTACTGCGGGTTGGCCTACTCTGAGTCTCGCAGGCGCCGGGCTCCCTTCGATTTCGGAATTAAAAAAAAAATCTAAATCAAGAATCTATCTTGAAAGCAGATGATACCAATTTAATACTAAAGTATACCTGTGTTTTAATTTTTCTAGTTTGATTTTTATTTGTGGTGGTTTTGCATCATTTTTTAAATGTTTCACTCGTTTATCGTCTTTGACAGGCATTATTATAAAGGGGAGGGAGGGGGTAGCGTACCGGGTGGCAGTCGCGGCTGTGGGACCCTAGCATTGTTGAGCAGGGGCCTGCCGCGACCGACGCGACACTCGGGCGCTCGGGCACTCACTCACTCACTCACTCACTCACTCACTCACTCACTCACTCACTCACTCACTCACTCACTCGGCCCCCCCGCGCCAAATAAATTGTTTTCTGGTCTGCGCTTATGGTTCTCTGTACTCATCGAGAGTAAAAGCTAGCTGACACCTTAAAGTTACTTACATATTCTTTATGTTTAGTCAAAATGTTTGTAAGGTATCATCTGCTAAAAAAAAAAACAAAACAAAAAAAAACAAAAAAAAACGGACTG